AGCATTGAGGAATATGCGTTGCGAGATTGTGTTTCGATTCGGACGTGATTTGCGATTGCGTTAAGTCGATAAGCCGCGATCGCGCGATTGATCCTGTGCCGCGTCGAGCCAAATTGGAGAATGAGATTGGGACTAATCGTCGAACCACTTAAAACACAAAAGTGGATTTTAATCCGTAAAATAAATGCCGTGTACACAAATTTTGTTTTTCAAGAAAATATTTTATCTCCATCAATTTGTAAAAGGATTTCATTACGATTGAAACAAGAAAATATTAAAAATTAAATTTTTAATAAAAAAATAAAATTGAACTAATTTTAATTTATCTATTAATGCAGTTTAAAAATATTCCTTCATTGAGTTTTTAATAAATTAAAACCAAATTGCATCTTTTGCCTTTACCTCAATACACATATAATTGTCGCATCTGCATGTCAACAATTAACACGGTGCAAATTCCGCATCGCGCTAGACGCGTCATGATTGCTAATTAATTGTCACCGCCGGCTCGTCAGTGCAGCGCGCTTAATTTTTCCATAATTGTCGCAATAATTCGTGCGCGAATCCATCGCATCTCACACCGAAGGTAATAATTCTGCGAAAATTACCGCCGCGCGTTTATTTCTACGCCAAACACGATAATTAGAATTTTGTCATCTCGCCGGATGGGTTATTATCGCCAAGGTTCAAAGTAAAACGATCGAATCGCGCGATAAATAATAAATTACAGGAGAAATGCAGAAAAACGGAAAAAACCGCGCGCCGTTTTTAATGCGACACGCCGCGAAAACGACTCGATAATAAATCGATCGAGGCTGTTTATACGCGTCGGGTAATTTACAACAGCATTGACGACGCATCGCAATTAACGGGGTGCAATTATTTGCCAGCGAATTAATGCATTTCGATCGTAAACAAAACGCAAACGATTTGTGAAATGCAAAAAAAGTGTTTGTCCAACTTTGACAAGCTGGAAGTTTCGTATGAATTATCACAGAAAAAATATGTTTACATCAGAGTGTAGATAATTTAATTGTCTTTTTATTTTACTCTATTTTAAGACTTATAGTAACTGTTAACTGTCAAAAATTAAGCAAAAAAATGTAATTGCGTTTTATTTCCAATAAATTTTTATACCTTTTGTAAATATTTAAACTTTCACGCCGTAAACTTCCGTTTTTCATGATAATTATCCAAAATTTTAGGAAATCCTTGGCCATTTACAACTTAATAACTTTGTACCCACAAGATAACCTCCCAATATATCCGTTAAATGATTAGAATTAGCTTTAAAGACCGAAAATCTCAGTTCAAAGGAGAAAACACGCAAATCTAATAAAATTTACGACGGAATATTTACCAGCTTTGCGAGAATTACACACCATCGACCATTCGTGCTCAATTGACCGTCCCTTTTCTCAACAGCCCTTAACACGGTCGTTTTACGATTTGGGAACGACCCTTATTGTAAATTTTATGTTGTGGAGGTTTTAAGCAAATTGAGGAAAGATTTTGAAGACCTATGGTAATCGGATAACTGTATCTTATCCGTTTAAGAATGAAAAGGCAAGAAATTGATTTTATGTAAATATTAATTATGGAATTAATTTTGAGAAAGATTTAGATAAATTTAATAAATTTAGAATATTTTAGAGAATTATTTAATTTATGAACAAAATATTTGTGTTATTTACATCAAATATTTTTTTAAATTTTCTTTAAATGTTACTTTACCACTATACCAAATCTCAAATCTTTAAGTCATTTCTAAGTTGGTGAAATTTGAGGCTAAAATTTTGAAAAATCAGCCAAATGTCGTTTCTAGCGCCACAAATCGTTCCTAGACGCTACACCACGTTATTAATAGCAATTTTATGAAAATTTATTACATCTTAGCTGGAATTCAACGTCGGGTTTGACTTTTGTGTGCTTCTCGGACTGTGATATGGCCCTAGTGGTTTATTGCGAGGGCGCGCTGCGCTTTACTTTTGTGACTTTAGTCCCGAAACGAGGCCGGAGATCAGCGCGCACGCACCGATCGGATCTCAGATAGTAGTCGGGATTTACCTGAGTGCTGAGCCGAAATCTACCTGCCCGAAATTCATCCCAAACGATATTTTATTACGGCAAAAAATTCCGTTAAGTCGGCGAAACAAAACAAAACATAATTTTTAAAAAAGAAAAAAAAGTTAAGTCAAAATTTAAACTCGAATAACAGAAAAAGTAGTTAGCGAATATTAGAATTTCAGACGTATGTTAATAGGCAATTTAATTCTCTACACTGTAGAAATAAAATTATTAAGATCGGTCAATAAATGATTAAGTTATTAACAATTTTCTAATGTTTTTCAAAACTTGGCGTTATTTTTGTTTGCTTAATTTTAATTTATTATAACACACGTTACGACCAATTGAAATACATTATTTAAAGTACATCTTATAGAGAATTTAACTGACTTTAATCTGCTTTTTATTTCAAAAAAATCTATGGATAAATACAGGGGTAAATCAACTTTGCAAAAATTTGTGTCCTACAACAGAAGTTGAATTATGCCTTAAAAAGTCTAATAAATTCTAAAGCGATCCAAATCTCCTCCAAACTCTACCTATCCGCAATAAAACAACCCTCCAGCCCTCTTGCTATTCTCTTTTTATGCTCCGCGTCCATTTCTAGGTCTTATAAGATCCAGCAGTCGCGTTTTTGCCGACTTCGCAACGCATTATCGTCGTGCGGCCGGCGCTCACCGGTTCTTTCGAATTTCGGACCGCGCGGCCATTAATATTTGATGGACGCAGCCCGAAACGACAGGTTGATTTCGATGATGCCGCTGGTGTTGGTGTGGTGGTGCGCAGGTAGAAGCACAGCAGGCTTATGCTCGCTCGGTGAGCCCACGAAGTCAAAGTCGGACGAGGATAATCCGCTTACCCGCTTACCGTATTTGCTGCGCTGTTTCGAACACAACAGAACCGCGGTGGACGGCGGAGCGGAGAGCAGGAAGACGTGGTGAGGACATTCTTGTTGTGTTGGAGTGGAGTAGAGATGAGCGGTTGAGGAAGAGATCCGAGGTGACATTGCAGCCAAAATGCAGCTCATCAGTTAAATCAAGCTAAAATTCATGAGGTTAGGATTTTAGAGTTTAGGGAATTAAGAATTTAATAATTTAACGTTTTAATTATCGATACAATTATTTTTAGCAATATTCACACATATACTGATAAAAATATTGTAAATTTAAGTAATCGCAGCGTTTTTTTCAAATTATAATTTCAAAATTTCCGAAAAAAAAGATTAACTTTTCTATTTTTGGTTATAAATAAGATATTTTTGGAGAAATAGTATATCTGGAAGCTACAAATCTTACTGTTTGGTTAATAATTTTCAAATTTGCACCAAAATGACATTTTTCCCCAAAATTTTCCGAAAAATGCAGTTTTTTAGAAAAATAGATGAAAACATTTTGATTTTTTTTAAATTTCTTCAAAAAATAGTTGATTCAACTTAAAAAATTAAAGTATTATCAACAAAATATCTAAATAACTTAGTTTTAAAAATAAATCATGTCGATTTATATTTAAATCATTAAATTTGTTATTAATTGCATAAACTAGTACTAGTACTCAAACCTTGAGTGATAATAAGACAGATCAGTGGAGATTACGTACGCTTATGCACGATTAGTGCGTGATTAGAGAATTACGGGTGATTAAAGGTGCAATCAGTTAAATGAAGCATTCGAAACGCTTGAAGCGTGCGTTGCGTTTCTTTTCGCGATAAAATCAGCGCGCAAATCGGCGATTAATCGTCGACTAATGCGCGTATTGTTTGGAGTATCGATGACTTGGAATCAGTGATTAAGTCATTTTCAACTGGCGGTAATTACTATTTTGGTAAAATATTTGTAATATGAAAGTTTCCAAATTTTAAATTTTTCTTTTCTTTTTTAATTTTATTCTAAGATTCTCTTTGACAAATTGAGATTTAAAAAAAGTAAGGTAACTAAAGAAATATTTGTGGTATTAGTTTAATATTATCATAATTAATTAGTGAAAATATTAATTTAAGCAAAAATTGTTTTTTTTATTAAAAATTTCTTTAAATATTTAAAATATTTCATATTTGGATGAATATCTTACATAATCAAGTTTTTTTTCTTTCGTTGGCAGCTACCACTGGCAAAAAGGAAAGCAGGATAACCGCCGGTGGTGGCGGCGAAAGTAGTAGAGGCAGTGGTGGCGGCGAGAAGCTGCACGGCGTCGAACACGCCTCGTCGTTTACGGATCGAAACCATCCGGCGGGGCGGAGACGGAGACGTCCAACCACCAACCAAAAACATCCTTTGAACGAATCATACTGATCATATCCTTTTCTTTACATCACTTTAAAAAAACAAAAAAATATAAAAATTACCCACAAAAAACAAAAACAAAATATTAAACAATATTTCTTCAATAAAATTCCAAAAATAATTTTTTTAAATTTTTAAGTATAAAAACTTAAGGTAAAAGTAGTCCTTAGGAAAATCTTGTGGTAAAGATAAGGATAAGAAGTGCAAGGATACTCGTATAGCCGCTGTGGATGGTGTAGATGGTACCGCCCACAACTCCTCGTCCTGTAAGGACCCGCTTCCCATCTCTCTCTCCTCACCTTCCCGCTCCAACATTTTTCCTCTTTGTTTCCTCCTAGAAATCAGTATTTAGAGCAAACGCTATCCTTGTTATCCATCGCATGCTCATCTCTTCCTTGTAGATCTGTACATCTACACTTCTACACTTCTACACTTTTGCACACTTCCTCGGTTCCTTCAAACCTCCAAACTCCTCCTGAGACTCCTGAGATACAGATATTCTCAGCTGGTCTCCGTATCCTCCTATCTGGTGCTATCCCTCCTATCCCTACTATCCTCTCTATCAATCCGCGCCGGTTGGACACCGCCCCGACCCCCGCGCGCAACAGCTTTGGGGACGTGCGCGTGCGATCGTGCCGCAGTCGTGAACACGCCGTCGTCGTGTACGGTCGGTTGTCAGAAATCGATGCGCGGAGTTTTGCGCCCTCGTGAGTGTTTGCAGCGTGTCTAAACTTCCACAAAAGTTTAGAAACTTTATTTTTATTCTGCAAGAAATATTAAAAAGCAATGGTAGGAACAATTGTTGATGGTTTAGTTGGGTAGTGTTTGAATTGCGCGGCGTTTCTTGGTGACACATGACGATGGACTTTCAAAGTGCGATGGAGACCTTCGCGGAAGCATGGGTTGCCGCCAATTCAAAGAGCAGTCCTTTGGCAGATTTAACTACTCAGGTAATTATTATTTACTAGGATTTAAAATTTTATCTTTAAACATGAAGATTATTTGGAAAAAAATTCAAAAAGTGCATAAAACTTGATGTAAAGTTGTATAAAATGAATTTAAATTGAAATTTAGGTAAAATTTAGGTGTAGACAAGGTATAATTTGACCTAAGTATTAAAAAATGCTATTTTAGAACAAATATTTCCTATATTTTGAGGAAAAATAAAAATTTTCCTAAAAAAGTGTTTTTACAATGTTTAAAAGAACTAATAATTGCGATAAAATATTATTATGTGTTTATTATTGTATTTTTGTATTGATTATGACACGAAAAGTTAGATAATATAAGTTTGCTTATGAAAAAAGAGAACTTTTAGAACTTTTGAAAAGTTTACGCAAAATTTACATTAAAAAATCGCAATTTTGAAAAATTACCTAATTTTGCCTAAAAATACTTTGAAAACTATTATTTAAGTACCAAGAATCAAATAATATAAAAGTATCAGTTATAATATTTGTTTATAACTTTATCTAGAATCTATTTTTAAAATTAGATAAGAAAGATGCAATCTCATAAAATATAAGCCATTTAATTATAAATCTCTTGATTAATTATAGCATTAACTAATTTAAAACTAAATAAGTCCAGAAAATTAAAAATTCAGGTCTTTTCTAATCTAATACAAATATTTTGACAAAAAAAAATTTCTAGATTTAAAAAAATGGTACGCATTAAATGATTCGCTAATCCAATGTGAATACACACACATGACACATGGCAAAACGTCGAAATCTCCACATTTCAAAATCCGAATTTGAATTCGAATTCGCATCCGACGACAAAATAGTGAAATAGTGCACTTACTGGGCAAAGCGCTGAATAAGTCGAGCGGAGTGGGATGGAGGCGGCAGCGCGTCAGCCGGAATTAAGGGGTCCGTAGGCTGGGGTTTCCGGGGGTTAATCTCGTAATGCGTCCTCTCCTCCACTCGCACTCATTTTCATTCCATGCGCCTGTTTCATTCATATCTGCACAAAATACACTCACACACCAATCTATTTAAACCTAATCCACCTATATGAATATAGATTTATTTATTAGTGTGTGTAGTGTGTGTGTGCTCGCGCTTTCCAGCCGCCCCCACACGCCTGTTGGAGGGATGGGTGGGTGTTCCATTTATATGGCGCTTAATCCGGGATTTGCGTAATCCGGGATCATCCTCGGCGAGCTGGCCGAATGCAGTCCGCGGACGTGGATCGATAGATGACCGTAAACGCGACTGCAACCCGCCGAAAGTGTTGCTGTTGCAAACTGTAAAACATTTGAGTCTGCGTCAAATATTTATCGAACACACTGCCGGAACTGTATACGGATTAGTTTTAGAGCGCGATTCTAAAAACCCATTCGATGCCTAAATGGAGCAAATTTGGTTGAAACCGAAAATAGGACTTGGACATCGATTAATACTAACAATATATTCACATACGAGGATTTAGTTTTTATTATGGTATTACAAGTACAGAGGGGAATAAATTTAAATGTCTATGTGGAAAAAATTGTAGTGATAATCTGTGTGGATGATGTGCGTTCAAGTTGATTAAACATTCGTTTGTTTGCTCGCATCCTGATAAACAGCGTCTAAGCCTTGAGTTTTGATCACAAAAATTTATGGTCTTAACTTAAGTCGTATTAACATTCACCAAACTTTCATATATAAATACGCATGTAAAAATATTTAGAACTTTTAAAAACAATTTTTAAAAGTGTAGTAGTAGATGTTTTTCAGGAGGTTTAAGTTTTGCATTGAAATAATGAAATTAATTCATATTTTGTCAAAATTGCACAATGACTTATTGTGATAAGTCTACTTAAAAGATTAAGGTACCACCGACATTTAGTGTTGTAAAAATTAGTTGAAATACTTTTTTTTTGGAAATTTTGTGTTTTTTGAGATTAAAGAACTGGTTGAATAGATTTTTTGTAAATTTTTGTCAAATTATTATTAGAAATGGTTCATATTCATAATCCAAGTTTATTTGAATAAATATCAAGTGTTTTAATACTTTTTGTTCTATATTTCTTTGTTCACTGTAAATTGTTAAAAAAACAATTTTTTTCGATTTTTTTTTTCTAAATTTATAAAAAAAAAGTACTAAAAGTAGTGAGTTTAATGTAGTTATAATTACAAACTTTCCGAATACATGACTTTATGATACAATATAAAATATTTCCGCCTGTGTGACCGGATGTAACGTTTCGCCCCGTCTGGTTATTTCACTTACCACCTGTAGATACCTGGCGACATGCTACTCGCCACGTTTTCAAAGTCAATGTTTTCCCCTTTTTTCTGTCTGGTCGTTAAGTCCACCCTCGCGTTGACTCTCACCCTCTCTATACACTCGACATTCGCACACACACATACGTACACATACACGATAATATAACGAACGAGTACACCCTTTATGGGTTAAAGTTATCTTTTCGTATCTATGTGTGGCTACTTGTTACATGTACGAGGTAAATTTGTAACTGTTCTAACTGACTACTTGTTGTTGTTATTTTCCCACAATAAGTAAATATATGTGTAAACATAGAGGAAAGAGAATTAACTTAAGTAGGGGTGAAAATGTCGTATGAACTTTAGGGGTGGTTTTTAACTGGATTTGTAATAAAATAAAATCGAAAAATTAGTGAATTTTGGAACATTTGATAAAAATAGTAAAAATTTAGGGAAAATTTTGATAATTAGGCCCAATTATTTAAAAATAATTAAAATCATTAAATAAATTATGGGAAACATATTAATATGCATTTTTATACTTAATATTAAATCGGTTATTTGTTAAATTTTGTAAAACGAATATAAAATTATCAAAAAAATTTATTTCGTACCTAAACTTCAAATATCTTTGAATCAAATAATTCTACGTGTCTCAAATTTTGCATACATCTGCCTGAATAATATATCTACCTAATTTGAGAAGATGAGTCTTTTAAAACTATTCAACGGCAAATTATTCATAAATAATTAACGTTTTACCATTTTATATTTTTTTCTTTAAAATTTTTTGTTTTTGCAATTAATACCTCGAAATAAAATACACCTACTTCAACTTTTATTTTATTTGATTGTATTCCATGCAGGATTAAATTATATAGCTGGAGAATTAAGTGCCTCGTTAAAAAGGGCTTGTTATGCGCGGATTAAGTAAATTATGACTCATGCCACGTCTGAATTCAATGCTCCAACCTCAAAACTGCAGCACACACAGAGTCCAAATCCAAAGCACGTAAGAAGAGACTCCTGCTCTCCGCCCGCAGGAAATCTTCTTATGAATATGCGTGCACCCTCCACCCCATGACTAAAAAGCGGATAAGGCCCTCTCCAGTCAGATTACGATTACGATTACGATTCCTATGAGCAGATACAAAAAACACCAAATAATTCTGTGTGTGTATGTGGCGGTAGATAAGGATAGGAAATATAGGAAAATATAGAGGGTGGATTAGTCCGATGGGGTTATCATAATCATCTTCATAAAATAAAAACTTGGCTAAGAGTTAGATAGTATAGAATTTGGTAGGAGTTGAAGAAATGAGATGCACGTTGTGTACAAAGATGAAAATTTTAGGGTTGTTTGGTGTTAGAGGGTTACGCCTGGTTACTCAGAGTTAGAAGGGTGAGTTGTTGCGTAAATACGTATCTAGAGTTGTTGGAGCGTTGTGAAAGGAAGAGGGTTGGTTTGCAATGTGTTGCCATAGGTCTGGCATGTTTTTGGTGGGTAATTAATCTGAATGAGGGGTTTAATCCACTTTTATTGCTTTGTTTGCAGGGTTTTGCTCATTTTTTAAATAGAAAAAAACATTTGAACTAAAAATTTTATTTTTTAATTCGTTTTTTGTAAAAATTTAAAGTTGGTTATGTTTTTCACACCATAACCTCAAAATTATTCACTACTTGTTTGTAGTATGTTTGAAATACTAAAGTTTTTGACCCTGAAAACGTCGAAGAGTTTGAAGTTCGGCTTGTTCTCGTTAAACCGAAAACGAGGGACGCAGTTAATCCCTCCGGGCCGCTTAAGCTCAGCTCCCATCCATTGCGCATTCACATCATCTTCTCTTCCTCTCCCTCATCTTCGAGCATAAATTCTGCTTCGGTTTCGTTTTCGTTGGCGAGGTTATCTCCGCGCATGATACCGAATTTCGGCGAAGCCAAAGCCGAAAGCCGAAAGCTCGAAAGCTGCGCGGCGTAACAGGTCGATGCTCCTGCGTTTCGCGCGAACCGAGGAGTCGGATCAGTTTTTTCTTTTTGGCGAATTCGCAGAAGCACAACCACCAGTTGAGAGTTGGCCACTGCGCCGAAACTTACAGCCACTGGGTATGACTATATGACCCTGTCACTCACTGAAAACGAGCCAGATTCCACACATTTCATCATGCGACGTCGAAAGAAATGAAACAAAGAAAGAAATTGACCATTCTACACCTGTCGTCAAGCATAGAGATTGGGAGATGGTCAATGGAATTCATATAAAATGAATTGCTATGAGATATAACCTCAAAAATAATTAAAAATTAATTATCATATTAATAACACTTAAATAATTCACAATCAATAAAGTTTTAGGAATATTTTAAAATATTTTTACATATTTTGAAGATTTTTCATTTTTTCTATTCCAAAAAACCAAAAAAATTGTATCAATGTAAAACTTCCATCATTTTACTCAAATTCTTCAAAATATTTGCTCCGTACAGATTCCCAGAGTCATCCAAGTCAACACACAACTCAACAGGTCATTTATTATACCTCCGCGGCTACACTTCATCTTCATCCTCACTTCTTCACCAAATAAAACCGCCGAAATTACAGACGCAGTACAAGGTTAACTTTATTGCTTTATGGTCCATTTAGATGTCGGATAGATTTTAAAATTGGACATGCCACCACCCTTGAGTTAATATTCTTTGAAGTTGAAGGGTTGAGGGTTGGTTTTACAGCCTGCAATCGACAAATATTTAAGGTATCATAAAATTACACTCAATTTATGATTTTCAAGGTTGAAGTAGATGCATAGTCAGAGATACAACATGTGACAACAAATATTTTATAAAATTTTGAGATAAAATATTTTAAATGCTTGAAAATAAATTTTTTGGAGAAATATTTTGGTGAAAATGAATTTTAAAGTTATTTTTGTAAAATTGAATAAAAAAAATTAAAGGAATTCAAAGTTTTACGCTAAAATATTAATAATTAATGAAAATGTTTTTTAAAAATCCAAAAATTTAGGCAAAAAATTTAAAAACCTGAATCCAGTTGGATTTGTTTCCATTGAATAAGTATCACTGGCAGATAAAGATGGTGCAAAGACTGCGCCTGGAATTTTGAAGCTTTTTGACCCCACTTAACCCAGATTAATAACTCAATAGCCGCGTTCTCCCCGCACGCCATCGATGGTCGACCGTTCGGGCCGAATAATGAACGCAACAGATTTGTGCTCGGTTTAATTCGACGCCAGATTCTCTCCTCTCGAGAGCGCGTTAATAAATGGCACAAACGAATATAATTGATCTTGAGCCTACACACACACCAACACACACACATACAATAACAAAAACACATCAATGACGTAATCATCAAGCGTCACTAAACGGAAGTAAATGTATTGCCACACTAAACAAATGAATTTTTAATTTCAGAGTCAAGCATTAGCACTGACGAGAAACTGCAAAAGTCCTAGTACTCAAAATGGCGGCGGGGGTGTAGGAGCAACCACAGGAAGTAATAATAACGGAAGTGGAGAAAATGGCGAACGACGTGGTATGAACAACGGGGAAGTACCTGAAAGACGTACACCGACAACACCAGAGGAGAGAAATGCTACACCGATGGATGCAGTGTCGCCACCTTCCGTCAAAGAAGAGTTTGAAAATGGCGGGAAAACACTAGGTAAGACATAACCGCATTTAAAGTATTTTAATATTTGTATTATGTTATCGTGGGAATAAAATAAGGTTTAAAAGGAAGTTAAATCAGATTATCGCTAAAAAGTTCGTTTTGATTGATGAACCATCCGTAAATCCATTTGGATTCCGTTTAGGGATTTTCAATCCAACACAATACACGTTAGGGGCGCAGACAGATGGATTTACGAAATTCGGCGGATCGGATTGCCGGATAGCTTCGAAAGGTAGCAACGCAGGTACAACTTGGCTCCACAATCGACCATATGTTACTACACACACATACACATAACCTATATTCACGTAGCTAACATATGTGCGCATGTAAACTACTACAACTACTACTCCTCGAATATTTCGTTTTGTGAGTCCTTGAAGATTTTGTTTGGTTTGTGTGCGTGCGTGTCGGACGCCGCTCGGTTTTCGCTTTAAGCTGGATTAAGGCGAAGGTACGGCATTAGGGGAAGCCGGGATTAGACCGCGAGTATAGTGAGGTGAGGCGCGTGAGGCGGACGGACACACCGCGCAGACGGGAAGTTAGGGATTAGGGATTAGTCTCGAGGCCGGCGGGGATTAGCGACGACTGCGAGGCGAAACGCACCAGAACGCAACCGAATCCGTGTGGAGTGTGTGTGGAAAAAATTGAAATGAATGGAAATTATTTTAAGACGCTGTGTAACTGTAACTGTAATCCAATAAGATGGGAATTTTTAAATTCCAGGCGTGAATTAGGAAAGTAAAATATAGTTTTTAATCTGTAAGCTAAAGATTTACGTTTTAAAGCTTACAATTTTTAAAATATTGTTTTTTCTTTAAAAAATTAGCTAAATTTGTTGAAAATTTGTTTAAAAAGTTAAAAAAAAAATTGTGAAAAAAGAAAATTTTTGTTTTTATGAATTTCTTTGCAACTTTTTCACATTTTCTTAATTTTTGTACCATTTTTAAGCTTTTACAATTATTTCAAAAGCAAAATTAACAAAATCCAACTTTTTCAAGGTTTTAATGCGCTAATCAACGATTTTAACTAAATTTTTATTCATCAAAATAATTTTGAACATATATTTAAGCAGATTATAATAATATATCTTCAAAATATCTAATAATACTCAGAATTAATCCCTGAAAGCAAACACGAGTAGCTCGATGAACAATCTCTTATTATTCTCATTTTGACTCAGATTTTGATTTTGATTCTTATTGCTCAAGAGCAAAAAAAATCTCCTTGCTCCTTAATCCTGCTCTTAAAATATTCCGTTCAAGTTACAAGTCCCTTGTAAGACTTGTAAGATCACCGCCTGTGTTCTCCGACTTCTGATTCCGTCCGATTTCTTTTGATTTGGCTTTCTGCTTAAGTCTGCTTATTCAAATTAAATCGACTAAATAAGCAATCGTAATCCTGATCGACATGCGTCATTACCATTTGTATTCATTCAACTTTTATCAATATAAAAATAAAAACACCCTGTATAAATCTAAACCAAGATAAACAAAATTGTGAGGTTATGTTTCTCTGCTACTGTATAAATATATACTCATAGAATAGAGATTATTTTATGATTGATTTAGTTTGAGCTGTTTGGCATTAGATGGTGATTCGTAACTAATTCGACGAATGCGCCGTGATTGGCAGGAAAAACGGAAATCGCTGGAAAACGACGATAACACGCGCGACTGCCGCTGGAACGCGTTAACTTAATCCCGCGCGATGCACGGATTTAATCCTTATATTATTCGGATTAGCGCGTGAACGTCCGAAAACAACACTACATCATCATAACACATTGTATAATAAATATATATTTTCAAAATAGGTAAAAACACTCGGTATATTTAAGTTGTGAGTTTATGATCGTGCGTTTTGGGCGTTCGGCCAGATTAACGTAATCTGCGACGATCCCTCCAAAGCGCAAGTCACCTTAGTTCGATCTAATACGATCTAATTCGATCTCCTTCGATCTGCTCAGCTCTCTCAGCATCAAAACCCACCCACATAATACTTAAGACTTTAATAATTTATTTTACTTACTTGTTTGTTGGTTGTGTTTGTGTTTATGGTCAAGGTCGATTTAGGTTTGTATTTGTAAATAAATGAAAACTGGGAATAAGTTTGATTCGTATTTATTTGTATGGTTTTGCGCAATAGTTTTTAGTGCAGGACGACGATGGCTACGTCACGAGTATTATCCGATTATCGTGCGCTGTGCGAGTTCAGCTCGCAGGTGGGTTTAGGCGGGCTGAGGTGCGCGGCCGAGGGGAGCGTTAATCCTAAAGCCCACGAAAGCCGATCCGAGGACGATAAACACGCACGCGAGCTGGCATTAAACAGAAACGAATCGGATGCGAGGGATATTCACATAGAAACTAAAAAAATTGAAAATTTTAAATTTATATTAAAAGTTATTCATGATTTAACAAAATATAGATTAAAAAGAATCAAGTTTTATAAGAGAATATTTTTATTATATTTTATTATTTATTTTAGGGGTTATGGATAAGTTTTACTGGTTTTCCTAGAAGAAAAAAGATAAAAAATTTAATTATTTGTGAATTTGTTTGTTTGTTGCACTTTTACACAAAAACCACTGAATAAATTTTGATAAATTTTGGTATAAAGATAGTTAAGATCCTGGAGAATGACATAGGCTACTTTTTGTCCGAAAAATATAACTTAAAAGGTGCAAAATATGGGATGAAAGCTGGAATGAAAATTTAAGATGACCAGAAATTGAAAATAAATAACTTTTTAGAAAATTTTAACCAAAAATTTAAAATTTGTTATAAAAGTTCTTAAAAATGTTCTTATCCTGCTTCACTGCTTCCTTAACGAAGCACTAAGTAGAAAAGTGAAAGCGTCGCGACGCATCATCATCCGCACTATCGCTCCCATTCGTCGTCTAGAGTCTTTACCACATCGACAGGACTCAACCTCAGCCACAATCAGGATTACGTCAACCCATCTCCTTCATTTCCCCATTTGTCTCTCAAATTTTTTCTCCCTTGCTCAATTTTAATCCTCAGCCCTTTTTATTCCTCTTAGTAAGTTCAATGAGTCTGATTAAATCAGTACTTTAAGGATTGTTCATTTTTTAACTTCCTTCAAAAATTACCCCGCGATGGATTTACGCAGGACGTTTTATTTACCGTGGTACTTATCAAGGATTTCCCGGAACAAAAAAGCGGGTCACAACTGCTTTTAACTCTCAATGTTGCTTCTTGTGTCTTTCGAGTCGCTCATCCGGAAAATTCCCCGCTCGCATGGTGATGAGACAAAGAGTGAGCGAGAGTCTTACACAACAGCTTATTTCGATCCTCGGCGAAGGATTCTTATTAGCTTAAGTCTTGTTAGTCTAAAGTTTTAATTCGAGTCGCACATCCTGAACACCGGGCATGAACAGGATCGCAGAAGATGAAGTGCGTGGAGGGCGCAAGGGGCGAGGAAAAGTTTAGAGAGTGCTAAGAGCAGACGCAACCCGCAATACTGTTTACAATAAGCCTCCGCAACATCCGAAAACCACCCCCTTAAACATTCTCCATCGGGTTGAAAGTTCAAGAGATGTTAATACGATTTCACGCTTTGGATTTGCTTCAAACTTGGATTTTATTAATAAAAAATTATTATTTTATTTATGGGAGGTTTATAGTGGTTCCCAGATAGTGGTTATTAAAGATTATTTATAAGGTTGCATTATTGATCAGCGGGGAGTGCTTTGTCTTGACGACGGCGTCGTGGGGTGGCCGGTTAAGACGCCGGTCAAGCTCGGCTCGCGGCGCTGGATTAGTACCCGCCCGGCCGGGATTAGCAGCCGGCGCAGTCTGGCGCGTAAGCCCACCGGGATTACTCGCCTCCGGAGGCGGCTGAGATTTGCCCGCTTAACGCCGCCCCCGGAGCGCATCTGCATTGTGTGCGCCTCCGCTTCGAGGGCAGCAGTGCAAATAAAACAAAAATCGGAGGAGCGGGACCAACGTCTCGCTGGTCTTAGGAAATTACATCCCTGTTGGCATGCTTTCCGGAGTATCCACTATGGGTCGCACAGTCTTTGTGAACCTGCAGGACTAATCCGTAAGACGCCCAGTCTGGTAATATGCAGAAAACCTTCTTAGCCTAACGAGATTAGTGTTCGCCTCGGCTACGACCCCGGAATATTACTGGAGCCTGGACTCTTGGCTACCTGGTTTGTGTCTATCTCCAACAGAGTTGATTTTGTTTTCCGGGGGTTATTAAATGTCTTGCTGGGTGGATAAATCATAGAAATTCGCAAATTGAAGTTAAAGCGATTTTTTCTGCGTTGTAGATTTATTTTCCGGTTTTCCAGGGCGTAATGCGGTTGGTATCGGGGGGCAATCAGGAGGGGGTAATAGTGGAGATCATTAGGGATGCATTTAGATTGAGGGGGATGAGTCTACTTAAAAATCCATTTTATATTTGGATGATTTTTGGAGCTATTTTTTGGTATTCAGAAAACGCTTGATTTTTAAGCTGTTCTAAACCGGAAATGTTGGAGTTTATGAGTTGGGAAATATTTATACAGGGAAATAAAAACTTTGGGAATAGATAACACATTTTAAATATGGTTTCTTGGATAATTGTATTTCTTTTTAATTTTTTTCACAAAATTTTCAAAATCAAAAAAATTGCAAAATTAACAAAACTAACCACTTTTTAAATTTAATTTCTTCTCTAAATTAATCCATCAAATGTCCTCCATGACACCCTTTTGATAACCCTATTTTTGACAAATTATCCTTCCTAACTTTAGAAACCAGATAAATTCCAGGCGAAAAGTTGAAAAGTTGAAGATTATGTCACGATTTTCGGGCCGTAATCGACTCTTATCGCATCGCTGTCATCAGCTACCGTCTGTTTAATCTTGCGACACGATGAATTACGGCATTGTTTAATCGTTAACAAGCCGCAGGTGATAAGAGCAATTGTTTGCGCTCCCGCAGCGCCAACGCATTTGAATCCAGTTCAGGCGCGCTGAACTTGTACAGATTAGCGCGGAAAAATTTATGATTATGACCGCATTAATAAATATACAGAGTGTTACAATTATTTTAAACATTAATAATTTATTTTTTGTTACAGCTAAATCTCTACCGGTGCATTGTGTGGTTGAAGCTGTGTGTTCCCTAGAAGATACACGTTCTTCAATCAATTCCAACTCGAATTCATGGAGGCGGCGAACCCTGGTGGAAACTGACAGTTTTGTCATTATTCCCGTATCGACACCGTTTCATGATTTGGTCCAGGCTGCTCTTTTACAGTTAGGGTACTCACCGGAAAGTGTTGCCGCCGCCAAGGGGGCGGTTGTTATCAAAAACTGGAAGGCATTAACTTTTGATCAAATCTCCGATGACCCAATTGCAAGCGTTGGTGAAATTTTGGGAGAATTGACAAGCGTAGCCACGCTTCGGATTCAAGTATTCCGGGGGCGGCCGGGTGCAGTTACAGATATCAAAGACAAACTGCTTAGATTTCTCATGGTGCAATCTCATGGCGTACTTATGTCTTCTGGATGTCCACTAGATGAGGTAAATATATTTTTAAATTTTAAGGTTATGTTGAAGAGTTTTCTTAAAGGTTGTGTTTTAACAGAGGTTATTAAGACCGAGTTAAGTTCGCGATTATGATTCTCTCATCCCTTGAGCCTTGCTCGTCTCGCGCGAAGAAGAATCACAGACGACTGCCACCCCCTTTTTGGTAGTGCCGTCGTTGGGTGGGTGCGCGCCGCCCTCTTGCTTTTAATAAGATTACTCCCGGCATTATTTCATGGTATTAATGAGATCAAAAGCCTTCTGCATCCGAAAGACTCGCGCTCGTCTGCACTCTGCCAAAGGTCGTAGGCGGCGGCGGCTGCGACGGCGGTAACATCAACATTGTCTCGAGTTTTGAGTCTACGCCGACATGACAAAACGTACTCTCCGACAACGTACTCTTTCTGTATCTATTTATTAGGGGCGGATTAGAGGCGGCGTGGGGGCGGGGATACAATCCTCTGATCCTTGTCCACAAAGCGAAAGGACGAGCGGTGCATTCAATGCAGCGGCAAAGCTCAACGAAACTATAACGTCGGATTATGAATTATAAAATGTATCATAAATGCTCTTTTCAGGCTCAAACTTTATAAATCCTGAAAAAGGACCAAAAGACCTTTGATAATAACAATTAACTATGATAATTTTATAACCTACTAGCTGTTGCCCGCAACTTCGTTCCGGCTGCGTTTAATAAAAATGTAATTCGTTTTTACTCTCTTGTTCTAGACATACTCGTAGTAAGAGTCAATTCTATCAATAAGATTAGCAATTTTAATTTAAAGAAATTAATTATATAAAGTTTTGTCAATAATGCACTTCAGCGCGCGATCTCGAATTCAACTATTTAACTATAACTATGATTGAATCTCAATGTCAAATTTTATTCTATAGAAAAGAGCTGTTTTGAGGATTTTCCCGGCAATTATTCGAATTTTTCTCACCTTTTAAACCTTCCCTAGACCTCCACGAATAATTCAAGACCAAGATAAGATAAATCCGCTCAGCCGTTCTCGAGTTTTAGCGAGACTAACGAACAGCAATTCATTTTTATATATATAGATGAGATTTAGAATATTTTTATCTAAATTATTAATACAAAAGTTTAAAATTATTTACTAAACACTCAGTATAATTAATTCCAGGTGCTCCTTTCTCAGATCTGCAGAGGTGGAGCAGGTAACACACCACCTGAGATGACAGAAGAATCTCGTAAGAAGTTTGACCAATGGTGGTCAGCCCAATTCAGTCCCCAGTCTCCCAGCAGGCCTCACTTGGCCCCACCATGTCAATTTCCAACCTCTGCCCCTCATCCAGCCAAACTCCTCGAACGCACCTCTCTACACCCTGATCCCGTTGGTCATCCAGCCCTTCAAACCGTACACAATCAATTCCCCACTCAAAAAACCCGCATGCGGACCAGTTTTGATCCCGAACTTGAATTACCAAAACTACAACGTTGGTTCGCGGATAACCAACACCCAAGTCGTCAACAGATCCAACAATATGTCAAAGAACTGAACAGTTTGCAATCGCGCAGAGGTCGGAAACCCCTAGATGTAAATAATGTTGTTTACTGGTTTAAAAATGCTAGAGCAGCTCAAAAAAGGGCTGAAACCAGACAAGTAGGTCACTTGGTGAATGGGTATAATAATTATAGTCCTACGAATGGATCGGGGTTTCTGATGAATGACGGGTATCTTCCTTCGGAGAGGATGGATGGATGGAGAAAAGGTGCTTGTAGAAGAGGACCTAATACTTCTCATATGTCTGATGAGTTTAGCAATACTGGATCTGATCTGGATGAAGAGGATATGACGGAACCTCCGGGGAGCCCAGTGGGTCCTTTGTCTTTGACCACGAGGAAAACTGAATCAAGGGATGGGAGTCCAAGGTCATCAACACCTATACCAGATCAGGTAAATGTCAAAAACTACAAAAAATCAAAAATTTAAAGGTTTTAGAAGACAAATTCTTCAATATTTCTATCATGTCCCTATTTAGATTGAGCCAAAGATTGAACCAAAGTGTGACGAACCAATCAACTACCACTCCTCCAGCGATCACTCAAACAACAACAAAGTCCACTCGATTTCAGACAATGGTGACCCAGACCCCGATGCAGCCGAGGAACCCGACTCCGAACCAGAAACCAAAGGAAACTACGACATGATGACCCATATGATGCGCCCACGCAGCTGTGATTCCCCCACGGAACCCCATCCACTAAGCGGACACCGTGTGCCAAACGAAGGTCTTGAACGTCTCGCTGCTTCTTTCCCACTGGTGCCCAACTCTATGTTCAGCCACAGCATTATGTACATGAGCCAATACATCCCAGGTCTTCAACATGCAGCTGCGGGTAGTCCTCCAGGGGCATCATCCGCATTGACAATGTCTGCTCTATCAGCAGACGAGCGCCGCAAACGTAATCGTACTTTTATAGATCCTGTTACTGAGGTGCCAAGGTTAGAGCAATGGTTTTCACTGAATACTCACCCCTCGCATAATCTCATTCTGAAATATACTGAAGAGCTCAACTGCATGGCGTACAGACAAAAATTTCCACGTCTTGAACCGAAAAATGTGCAGTTTTGGTTTAAAAATCGCCGTGCTAAATGCAAACGACTGAAGATGTCGCTGTTTGACTCCCAAGGCGGCCATTTTGGCGATAAAGAATAGGATTGGTCCATGCAGGGCCGTACTTAGTAAATTTTAACAATTAATATTCGAATTACCAAAGATTTCTACAATAATGAACACATTTTCGACAAGTATTACAGGATAGTGTTAGGTGGTACATATTTGTTTGTTTGTTTGTTATTTGAATGTTACGTTTTTTCCGTTTTGCTGTTAAATAATCGCATAATCGACAACTGATGTACTCTGGTGGATATTGTTAACAAGTGAACCGCAAATAATTGTTGTATCGTACGAAATAAGTCTGTATCGGAACCCAAACATGTGTCTGTCTGTAAGAGACCCTTTTTTCCAAACAAAATCATTCTATGACGAATAATGACGACCCGTTTATGTTTGCCATACTATTTATAAGAATGTATCAAATGTAAATAAAGATTACATACAGTAAAACTAATTTTATGCATATGATTATTAAATTAAATTTATATCGTTTTCAGGAGGTTGAAAATTAAGAAAAAAGTGGTAAGTAGTAAATATTTGACTTAAGTCAGCAGGTTTAGTGAATTATGCGCATGCGCAACATTCTTAAATTATGCCATGACTCAATTTGCTTACATTAAATGCTAATTTAATTATTTTTGAGGTTAGTTTATGATTAGAATTAAGTTTTATTTATTTTTTTCATTTTTGACCTCAATTTTAACCAAAAAACACTGAAATTTTGCCAAAATTTCAATTTTTAACTCATTTTCTAAAAAAGAATCTAAAAGATTACATTTAATGATAAATCACACTTTCTTTCATTTTAATTCATTTCTCTTTAAATTGTCCACCGTTTCATTTAAATCTGACACTTTCTCCATTTACTCCTCAAAAACCTCAAAGTTTTCAATGTTTTACTTGTGCTGGTACACCCCCGCAGCCTGTTGAAACTCTCTCTCGCCGCGCAAAGGCGGACGTAGGCGGCCCGGACGTTATCTGCCGCCTCTCGGATGCGCGGCTTAAAATAGCGTAACTTCGCCCGACGGCAGATGAGATGTGTCTCAATTCATCGGATCTTATAGCCGCGCATTGTCTTCCGAAGGGGTGCGAAAGCAAGGCGGAAGGCGGCGGCGTTAAAGTTTGGAAGTGTGCCGGATGCGCGCTCGCCGAATGATTATCTGTGTCAGCGAGGACGCAGGACGGGCGACGCGCGTGTTGAGATAGTACCAGCGGGGAGGCGGTGAGTGAGTTACTCAAGCGGGGGCGGTTAGAATAATACAAGTACTTGTTAGATGTGAGAGAATCGTGGTTTTAAACGTAGATTTGGAGATTTTGATTGTAGAAATTTAGTATTAAAATTTTGTTTTAGAAATTTCTTTATAACTTTTTCATTTGTTGATGAATTTTGGTGATTGATTTTTTATTTTGTTCATAATTAGCTAATCTATGGATTTGGTGTATTAAATATTTAATTATAATAAATTTGTTTATAGTATTAATTTTTAAAAGTGAAAAAGTTTTCTAAAAAATTAAAAATTAAAAATAATGAGAAATACTTGAATTTTTATGGTTTTTATTTATTAAAACATGTAATAATTTATCTATCGACTGTATCTATTTATTATTATTAATTTTATCTACTAATTTTATTTGCAAACTGGTATAAAACACCAAAAAATAATTTTTTTTATCAAAATTTCTTTAAAATTTAAACATTTGACCCGTAAAATGCAATAAATTCTCAACTTTTAGGTTAAAACTTATTTTAATTAAATATAACATTTCTTAAACTCTTGGTATCTGCTTGCAAAAATAGTTTTCTTCAAATTTTTCCTTCTAAAAATAAAAATTGATCTATTTACTTAATATGAAAATATGAAATCTTAAAAGTCATCTACATAAATACAAAGCACAGGTAAACCCACTCCGATAAATGCAGCATTCGTCTTGTCTTCGCGTCGTTTGCGTCTTGGCGATTTTTAATTGGGAAAATCGGATTGCGTTCATTATCCTCGGGCGCGCACCGTTCCGCTCCGGTCGCGCGCACGCAGTCGTAAGACAATGGCGCCCGCACAACAAAGCATTTATTCGTTAATTCCGATTTTATGCACAAATGCTACTTGCGCGCGTCTAATTGGTATCATCAGCGGAGGGAAATCGCTGGATGTGCACTCGGTGAGATCCTTTTCGCATCCGGAAGTGCGGAGTTCAGGTGAGCGCCGCGCCGGAAAGCAGGGCGCGCGCTTTGTGTGCGAATACACAATACACAAAAGCCTTCTACTTTTCCACTTTTCTACTTTTCTGCTCTTCATAAACCCGGCGCGTTTTGCAAAACAAATAAAACTAAATATATTATTTTATAATTTTTGTTGAGGGAAGTTTTAAATATGCTAATTACAAGAAAAACAAAAAAAATAAAATTTTGTAAAGAAATTATTTTTGAGTTTTTATGTGAGAGTTGATTTTTTGGTTTTTTACTCAGAGCGTGATCCGATTAGCTGGCGTCGATGAGAGGGCAATCTCTCCAGCGCCACCGGCCGGATCCTGCCGATCCAGATAATGACGAAAACCGCACGACGAGGAGTCATCTCCTCTCGTGCGCACCCAACTTGTGTGGTAATAAAAATTAGGGAGAATGCCTTCCAAGTACTTACTGTTAGCTTTTCTACTTCTACTTCTACTTCAGATTCCATTTCTATTTTTTTCCAGTAGCCGCAAAAAGAGAAGAAGAGGAAAACGATTTGGGATTTTCTTAACTGATTTTTCATCATCGTGCGCTAAATTCACATCTTCATCTCCGAGCGCAGCAATCAGCACGAGGGTCGGATTGAAATAAGAATCAGAAAATCATAGCGCGTAAAATGGTAGATGGGAAATGTTACGGATTAGAAGGCGAGGGTTTTGCAATTTTTAGGAATTGGACTAAATTATGCGTAAGCAAGATTTGTACAAGATTTGGGAAGCTTTAGAAAGCTTTCAAGGCTGTGAAACTGTAAAAGCGGAAAGCTCATGATAGGAAATTGAATCAATTTGCAAAATTACATTCTATTTTATCTTTTTGAAAGAAAAAAAAAGATTTTTGAACGAATAGCTAAGAATTTTAATTTTTAAGAGGTTATGACGCGTAGCCAACTATATGCAACCCAATAAACATTAAAATTATTTCAGAAAACGTTATAATTGTAATGTGAACTCAAAAGTCTGTAAAATGTGAAATTTTGTAGAGTTTTAAGCAGGAAACAATAAATAACAAATAAAAAATTAATCCCTACAATTAATATTGCATATTAATTAAATTTTAGTCAAATAATAAGCAAAAATTACAATCAAAAATCAAATTTTTCAAAATTTGCCAAAAATATTTACACTTTTGTCATTAAATTTATTTGTATTGCAAATTCTTTTACTTTTCTTATTTCTAACCTTACTATCGGGTTTTCTAAGGTTTAGATTACACCCCATCTTTAGCAAACAGTAGCATCCCCCTTATATCAGTATTTATTATTCATAACCGCAGTGCACGGCGGAAAACGTGAAATACTGGCGCGTAACGCATGATAAAAGACTTTTAAATTGTGTGTTGGCCTCCTTTCAAAAACCACCCCCATACAATACTCCTCCAAGGGTGTAAACGCCACAACCACAATAAAAGCACGAAATCTCTTACCCTGCACTTCGTAAATACCAAATAGGCCTAGGCCAACTAAAAAGTGTCTTAGATCATCCGTTTAAAACAATTTTTTCAATTTTCAGAAAACTTTATCAATAAACAGTGGAATTATTAAGTAAAAACAAAATTTATTTTGGGGTTGTTGTAACTCACCCCTAGGTGAATACAACATCTGGCTAATCCTGGAACAATCGTCGAATTACATCAGGTGTAAATAATGTCTTTCTTTAGGTAATAATTCAGTATAATTCAAGCGAATGTATGCAACCCAACTTACACCATATTCTCTACTATGAGAAGTATGAGAAGCATAGACGTATTCAAAGCGGATCGAATGTTTACGCTCGAAGAAATCGCTATAGAAATAATACACACTCACTAAGCGTTACATTGTTGGTATTAACATAACCTCAAATATTAACCTCTAACCTGATGTAACAATTTATAAGCTTAAAACTTTAATATTAAGTCTTAACGTTTGGTTATTTATGTACTAATTTAAAATTGAATTGAATTGAAAAAACCTAAGCGTTATCACTGTTTCATTTTTCAACCCCCAAGAATTAATTTCCTGTCAGCGAATCGTAGAATCTCTCCTCGCATTCTTTAAAATCACTCACAGCCAGTCTAAAAAAGAATAAAAGTAAGGGTCGAATAAGTACCAATGGGGGTGTGAGTGCGCTATCAGGGGGTTGAAACACATTGAAAGCTGCGGTCTCGGCTAACCATCTCATCATCGCATCATCATTGTTTGAATTTAATTAAAATTCAATCAGAAAGAAAAGTCGCGTGATTCGCATCGCTTCTTTCAACGTTTCAACCCCTAACTGAAAACTTCTGCAACATATTTATCGGTGTTATCGCTGTTTATTCTCCATGCCGCACTTGAACGGACAGTATCGACACAATAAACATTTCAGACTTTTTCCATCTGCAGGGGTGGCAGGGGGTTGGAAATAATACTGAATCTTGAGAATATCTTTCTTTCGGAATGTTTTCATGTCGGAATGCTTGGGTGATGATTTTAAATAGGGCGAGTTTGCTTTAAGGGTGGGGGTGGTGTATGTTTATGAGATAAAACCGTTTCCGGCGTCATCTGGCGTCGAGCGCGCTCTAGTTTACCACCTTAATTTCCTTCGCATTGATAAACACCAACAACCGTCATCAGGGCGCTTACACTGCCATTGGACTGTCACCACCGTCACCATTCGCCGCCTCCAGCGGCTGGAGAAATCAGCGAAGTAATGGCCGATCGCTTGGGAAGTTTATCGGAGTTTATTTCTATGAGTTTGATTAGCACAAGGAAAATAATCTTTATTTTTTGATTTTTTGCCGTTTTTTTTATCATTTCTGCTTGTTTTTTTAAGTAAAAACACTTGAAAATGATAATTAAGTTGCCTATGATCAAATTATTAATGTAATAATTGTTTTTGTTGCTTTTTTCTTTAATTTATTCGTCAAAATGTAAAATAAAAAGTTACTATTTGTATTTAGGTGTTTGTTGGGTTGCCTATGGTTTAGATCTAAAAGTAGTGTTTTCTTTTGTATGTTTTGTACTTTTTGCTGTTCACTGAGAGTTTAGAGTCGTTTAAGGGCCATTTGGCGATGATATATGCAGCATTATTGCACCCTCTCGTGCCGATGCCCTTCTTTTAATGGTTATTGCCCATCGCTGCGGAGATTAACGCAGATAGGACGTGAATTACGATCGCAAGCCGTCCACTAAATTCTGCGCTACTCAAAGATTTGACTCTCTTCGCTGTTGAAACTGGAACAAAACCAGAACAAAAGAGAACCTTACA